TGCAAGTATTCCTGCCAGGAAAAGAGCAGCTAAGAATGAAGTAGAGCTGAAGTTTTAAGAGTTTCAGCACACTAAAGGATTAACTGATAGAAAGTTGGGCAATGAGAACAGGAAGCAAAGGAACCCAGCTGGTTTCTGAGCCCTGAGCTAGCCTTCCCAACTTCAAAGCACTGAGATGTTGAAGTAGCAATTAAGGCACCTTTAATTGGCAAGCTGTGGACAGGGGCCAGATCGGTTTCGGGTGAGCTGAGAACTGATGTTGTAAGCTAGGCCTTCCCCAGGCAGTGCTGAGAGGCTGCAGCTGAGTGCTAAGAAGAGCAGGCCCAAAGGTAGCTGCCACGTCACTGCTTTTACCCAGTCGGTAACATCCTTGTGGTAAGGCAGCATGGGTCGCCCTTCCTAGGAAAATTTGGTGTCTTTTTTGTTGTTTTTGGTACCAGGGATCGAACTCAGGACCTTGTGCTTGCTAGGCAAGCGCTCAAGCCTCTGCACTATCTCCCTGGCCCCTTCCTAGAAAAATTTATGATTAAGGAGGTCCTGATGGGGTCAGATTTGAAGATTAGTTGAAGCGAAATTCAGCACTGCACCTAAACAGTGTCTTTTAGGCCTTCAACCTCTTTTGAAGTTTCTCTATCTGGTTTCCTTTTTTCCTTGGTGGTAGTGGTACTGGGGATTGAACCCTGGTCCTTTCCACTGAACTACATATCCATTGCTTAGTTTTAATTTATTTATTTGGTGAAACTGGGGATTGAACTCAGGCCCTTGCACTTGCCAGGGAAGCGCTTATTCTACCGAGCCATCTCCCCGGCCCCAAGAATGATTTTTTTTTTTTCCGGAACTGAGGATTGAACTCAGGCTCTTGTGCTTGCCAGGGAAGCATTTATTCTACTGAGCCATCTCCCTGGCCCTTAGTTTTAATTTATTTCTTATTTATTTATCTTTTGCAGAACCAGGAATTGAACTCAGGCCCTGTGCTTGCCAAGGAAGTCCTTATTCCACTGAGCCATCTCCCCGGACCCCTTAGTTTTAATTTTAGAATACCATCTCAAGCTGGGCACATAGACATACACCTATAATCCCAGCACTTTCAAAGCTGAGGTAGGAATTGCTAGAGTTCAAGTCAGCCTAGACAACATTGTGAGTTCAAGGTAGGCCTGAACTACATAGGGAGACCCTGGCTCAAAACAAAACAAAACCCCCCAGTCCCTAACTGCCCAGTCCAGCTTCAAGCTTGTGATCCTTCTGCCTCAGCCTCCCAGAGAGCTGGGGTTACAAGTGTGCACCAGTATGTCCGGCTTCCTCCTCTACTAGGCCAGACACAGAGCTGAGGTGGGTGTATAGGCAAATGCACACAGGTCAGTGGAGAACACAAGCCCTTTACCCCTCCTGGACCTGTTGTCCTGACCTCAGCAGAACAGGGTCCACCCAAGGTCATTGGCTTCTACTACCTGCACAAGGCCAGACTCTGACCACAAACGAGTTGGTGGTAGATGGATAATGGAGTCTCGAGGCAACAGGTAAGGGACTCTGCGTGGAATTCGAGAGCACAGATCATTAAGTCCCCTCTGAAGGAAATCTCACCTTAAAAGTTCCTGGTCCCTTTTGTTCACAATGATGGGTAACCAAGAAAGTGAAGACGTACTCTCGTACAAAGCTTGGGTTTGCCCTTGGGTGGGTCTTTCCTGTCAGAACCCCTGGTACCCGGGGCACAGCCACTCACCCAACTCTGGGCCTGGGTGTTATCACAGGTCACAGGCAGAGAGTGCTGGCTAAGAGACTGGCAAGAAGCTTAAGAGTGACGTGAAGGGCTAGCGAGATAGCTCAGCAGATTAAGCACCTGCTTGAGCAAGTGCGGGGACCAGAGTTTGATCCCTGGCAGCACATGCCATGCTGGTCCCAGCCTGGGACCCTAAGCTGGCCACTGAGACCAGTGTGGTGGCTCACGCCTGTAATCCCAGTGCTGGGGAGGCTGAGACAGGAGGATCACTAGGAGTCTGAGCTGCACAGTGAGACCCTGCACCAAACACATTTAAAAAAAAAATGTGAAGACAGCAGTAGCAGAGGCACATGCCTGTCCCAGGTATGGAGGTGGAGCAGAAGGACTGCTTGAGCCACAAATTTGGGGCCAGCCTGGGAAACAGAGCGAGATCCCAGTTCTTAAGAAAAAAGGCAAGGGGATGGCGCAAACCAGTAAGTAACCCCAGTATTTGGCAGGCTGAGGCAGGTTTAACTCCGTAGGAAGTTCAAGGACCGCCTGAACTACTGCCCCCCCAAAATAAGTTGGGCCCAGTGGTGCCATCGGTAAGCTGGCAGCTCCGCAAGAGACCAAAGCAGCAGGACCACGAAGTCCAGGCAGACCTTGGCAAGTTAGCGAAACAGTTAGTGAAACCGTGTCCAAACAGTAAATCCCAGACTTAGGAATGAGCTCCATGCCAGGAGAACTGTCCATAAGACGTATCTGTAAACTGACCAAGTGAATCTTCTATAGCACCCCTGTGAAAGCTGACAACTCAACCATTCGTAAGTCGGAGACTTACTATGAATTTTACATTTCATCCTAGCCAAGAGGCCAAGAAATGATTCAAAATAATTTTTTTTTTCAGTATGTAGTATAGGGTCTATAGGGTCTCACTACACAGATCAGACCCGTAGAGATTCTCTCGTTTTCAACCACCCAAGCGCTGGGATTACAGGCACATACCATGCCAGCCTTAGTGGCAGTCTCAGCATACGCCGGTGACGGGGCCGGCACGGTATGCAGGGGATGGAACCCCGGCCGCTGCATTCTGCCTAAGCAGGCCTTTTTGTCTGCTGAGCTATCTGGCCGGCCCTTTCAAACTAAAATTTTAAAAAGAGCTGGGTTCCACAAAACACATAACTAAACAAAGCTAAGGATAGAGCTCAGCGGTAGAGCAGCCTACTCGCCTGTGCTGCACAGCCCTGGTTCAGTCCTCGATAACACAAAATAATAAAAGGCAACAGAACACTAAGAACCCTGGAGTGTCACCATGTCGCTCCGGGCCGGTGGCTTAGCGTCCCCTGGGCTCAGTGTTCTCAACTGCAAAACCTAAGCTCTCCCCAGGCCAAAACCATGAGGTGGCTGGGTTCAGGGTGGCCAGAGGGCCTGCCCATGTTGGGGTTGGGGCTCCCATAGCCTCCTCCTTCAAAATCAGGAGTCGCCCATCAGCCAAGTGGGGCCATGGCTCGGCACACATGCCACATGTTTGGCACAATGCACTGGTGCTGGGGTCTCTCCCCGGGCAAGCCGCTTTCCTCCCTGGTAGTTACAAGAGCAAAATGAGGTAATGGTCCAGACAAGCACTTCATACAGCACAGAAGGCAATACAAGCAAAGGTTTGAAATAATGTTTCCCTTTACTTCCCTCCTGTCACCCTCTCACACCTCACATCCAGCCCTCTGATGCAGGAAATCAAAGTGCTACAAAGCATGGTTTGCAAACCCAACTGGTGCTCAGCTCCCCTGAATTAGGGTTTTATGGAAATTTAGGTCAAGTTGCCAAAACTATTCACTTTGCAAGAAGCCAAAACCCTGGATTTTGGGGTTTAGTACCTGAATGTTAAATTTTTCTGGGTTTGTTTGTTCTTGTTTTTTGCTTTTTTTGGTGGAACCCAGGATTGAACTCAGGTCCTTGTGCTTGCCAGGCAAGTGCTTATTTCACTGAGCCATCTCCCCAGCCCCAAATTTTTCTGTTTTTTAAGACAGGATGGCCTTCTACTCACTGTGTTCAGACTGGCCTCAAACATGCAATTCTAGGGGCCAGGGAGATGGCTCAGTGGAATAAGTGCTTCCTTGGCAAGCGCAAGGGCCTGAGTCCAATCCCCAGTTCCACTAAAAACAAAACAAAGAAAACAACAAAAAAAATGTGATTCTCCTGTCTCAGCCTCCCAAATGCTAGCACTGCAAGTATCTGTGGGGCCAACTCAGGACTGGGCCTCCAGTTTTTACTTCTGCACTGAAGAGACAATGGGTCGAAGCCAGCTACATGGTTTATAGCCATGTGCCTATAAACCTTGGGCAACATGTTTAAGACCTCATTTCTAAATAAATTACAAATACACACTTGTTTTGAGATGAGGTCTTACTACGCAGCCCAGGCTGGCCCCAAATTCATGGTAATCCTTTAGCCTGAACCTCCCAAGTGCAGGGATTACAAGTGTGTGCCTCCACAGCTGGTTCTCAAAATAAACTTTAGAAGGGCTGGGTGGCTGGCCCTGGTGGCACATGCTCATAATCCCAGCACTAAAACTGAGGCAGAAGGTTCACAGGTTCAAGTCCATCCTGGGAAACTTAGCAAAATAGTTAGACCTAGCTCAAAATTTAACAAATAACATATGGACTAGGGATGTAGTGCAGTGTAGAGAGCCTGAGCTTATCCAGTACCTCCAAAAAGGGAGGGTGAAGCGGGACTGGGATGTAGCTCAGCAGTAACACTATATTTTTTCCATTTATGTATTTGGTACAAAGTCTCACTATGCAGCTCCGCCTCCCCAGCACTGGGGCTACAGGTGTGTGCCACCAGGCCTGAACTTGGTTGCTGGCTCAGCAAGCCCCAGGGGCGTGGCCAGCGCAGGGTATGGGACTAGGGATCAAAACTGTGGTCCCTGTGCTTGCCAAAGGAGGCATTTAGTCCACTGAGCTATCTTGCCAACCCTAGTGATAACACTTTAACAAACCTAAGCCCTGAGTTTCATCCCTAGCGCGCGCGCGCACACACACACACACACACACACACACACAATACTGAGTGAACAAAGTTCTCAAAGTCTAGTGCAGGCTCCTACCTCAGGCCTGCCGTGCAGTAGGCAGTCGTCTAGTCTAGTTTAGGGCAGTGGAGAGCAGAGCACCAGCAGATGGAGCTGGTGAGGGCGTAGACTATCCCACCCCAGGCCCAGCTCTTGCTAGACACTCTGTGACCTTCCTCTTATCCCCAGCTCATCTGGGGGCCTTAGGCAATGTCTACTCTTCACTCTTGCCTTGTCACTTTTGAGATTGGGCCCCACACTCCTGGAAAATCTCTGGGTAGTGCTGGAAGCTCACAGGTGGGTCCAGGTCCCCTGGGCCAGGGGCCAGGGACATGGGCAACCCGCTGCTTCCATGGCCCCTGTGGCCCCCAACTCTTGGCCGATGGACCCACTGGTGCTTGCCCATGGCTGACTTCTGGCTGAAACACCTGCCACACTGAGGACAGGGGTAGGGGCGCTCGCCACTGTGGGTCCGCCTGTGGACTACCATTTCTGAGCTCTGCCGGAAACAGCGCCCGCAGTCTGGGCACGGGTAGGGTTTCTCCCCCGTGTGGGTGCGGACATGGCGCCGCAGGTCTGAGGAATGGGCGAAGGCCCGGCCACAGTCTGCACAGGGGAAGGGGGTCTTGCCACTGTGTACCCGCTGGTGCTGGTGGAGGGCGGAGCTCTGGCGGAAGCAGCGGCCACAGTCAGCACAGCGGTAGGGCTTCTCCCCAGTGTGGACCCGAAGATGGGTGGTGAGAGCAGAGCGCTGTGTGAAGGCCCGACCGCAGTCAGGGCAGCGGTGGGGCCGCTCCCCCCGGTGAATGGCCCGGTGCTTGCTCAGAGATGAAGCCCGGCCCAAGCCCTTGCCACAGTCAGGGCACTGGAAAGGCTTCTCGCCTGTGTGCGTGTAGAGATGCTCCACCAATGTGGAGCGCCAGGCAAAACTCTTTCCACACACATAGCAGCCATGACGCTGGTCTGCTCGTGGGACAGAAGGGTGGGCACGGAGTGGAGGGCGACCCCGGTGATGTGCCTTCAAGGGCCGCTGAGAATTGTAAGGGAAGCCAGTAGCGGCTGCCTGGGGGGCCTTCAGTCCAGGAGGCCAAGAGTCCATAGAAAATGGCTTCTCTAGTGCTTCGGCCTCTTCCTTTTCTTTTTTCTGTTCTTTGTTTCTAGACTCTGCTGGGAGATAAGGTGAGAGTTCAGACTGGTTCATCCTGGACCTTGGATCCCAAACTGACATAGTGACAGAAAGGCCTCAGACACAACCACTTTCTAGACCCATGGGTGCCCCTAGAACTTAGCGCAGTACAGGCAGGAGAGGCTTGGAGTGATACTTTTTGTCAGCTAAAGAGACAGAAAAGAGAAAGAATTGTGTATTAGGCCTCAGGGCTAGAGAAATGGCACCCATGAGAGCATCACAGGTGACAACATCTGAGCTGTGTCATGAAAATGAATGGACACCTAAGGATGTTCCAGGCATGCTCCCTACAGGCACTGGCAAATCCAGGGAGGCTGGGCGTTTGGCAAAGGTTGACAGGATGAACTGTGGGAAGAAAGCAGAAGGCAAGGTAAACTGCAACACAGGAGGAGCTGGCAAAGGTCCAGTGATGTTGGAGCCCAATCAACAGAGCTGAGTGCCCAGCAAGGGCTGAGAAACATGAGATTGCAGATCAGGTACAGCCTGAATCACAATTACACCCCCTCTGTAGACTGAACCCTGAGGGCAGACTTCACGGCCTTCGCTAGGACAGCAATTTAGGGAAGCAGGTAGGTGGAGCTGCAGAGGGCACCACCAGGTGCCAGGCACAGACAAATCCCCACGGGCCGAATACCCAGTAACTGTACCTGTGTCTGCTTCTGCTGGCCACCTGACCACCTCTGGATCCTGGGCATCTGGATCCCACAGTTCGGCCTCTCCCTCCACCCAAGAGATCAGCGCTGGCTTGGTGCCTCCGCCTCCTGGGGGAGAAGGCAAACCCCACGATGCGAGGAGGCCGCCCCACACGGTCCCCCCCTCCACGTGCAGGGCCCCCAGCAGCCGCGGGGGACGGGAGGGCTCTCACCGAGCGCGCTCAGGAGGCCGTAGGTATCGCGCATCACGTCCCGGTACAGGGCTCGCTGCGCGGGGCGCAGACACCTCCACTCCTCCGAAGAGAAGTACACGGCCACGTCGGCGAAGGTTACAGCCCAAGGCTCTGTGTAACTGGCCCCGGCCTGGTTCGGGGCCCGGGCAGGGAGCAGAGCCAAAGGCGGCGCCATGGAACCACGAGCGCCGGCGGACGGACGGGATACCCGCCGCTCGTATCGGGTCTGGTCACGCGCAGCAGCCCGCGCTCACGATCGCTCCCACCTGGGACCCACAGGTCGGAGGGCGGGCATCAGTGCCACAAGAGGGCAGAACCGGCCTCTCGAGGGCCCACAGAGTGGACCACAACTGAGACAGGAGGGTAGAGGGTACATAATCAGAACTTAGAAAAATGGCGGCAACGCGGCCTCTCGAACTCTCCTTCCACGCAGTCGTGCCCATTGTGACGCCAGCCGGGGTTCACCGGGTCTCTGTGCCTTCCCGCCCTCGTCTAAAATGGCCGCGACAGCTACACTTGCCAGTCTGAGAGCCCAAGGCTGCGCACTGACTGCCGGGAGGGGGCGGGGACTTCTCTGCGCGCTATTAGCGAAGCCACTGCACAGCCCCGTTTGTTTTTAAAGATTTTTTTTCCCAACCCCCCCCAAAGATTTTTTTTTTAATTTTATTTATTTATGTGTGTGTGGCCAGCTCAGCCCACCAGGGGGCGGGGGCTAGCTGGCATGTGGTGCTGGGGGATTGAACCGCGGTCCCTGTGCTTTGCTAAAACTTGTTCTAAGTAGGTGCTTTAGACCACTGAGCCATCTCACCAGCCCTTTGTTTGGGTTTTTTGTTTTTAAATTTTTATTTATTTACTTACGTATGTATGTGTGGCCAGCTCAGCCCACCAGGGGGCGGGGCTGGCTGGCATGTGGTGCTGGGGGATTGAACCGAGATCCCTGTGCTTTAGACCACTGAGCCATCTCACCAGCCCACCCTTTGTTTGGTTTTAATGGAGTAGATAAAACCGTTTCTGTCGGGAGATTGAAACTGGGGGGAGGGGCGGGGGCGGGGCTAGGTTAGGCTTTGGGAAAGAACAAAAGCACTCACTGTGCTACAAATTCAACTCCCGTGGGAGTACGCCAGGAAACATTAAAAGCTTCCCTTTAATTTTTGCCCGCTACTTGTCCAATGACTGGAAGTGCGCCGGGTAGGGCTTGGAACTCTCCAGGGTTCTGCACCCTCCTCCTGGAAGGAAGCAGAGCCAGAGTTTCACACTGCCGGGGGTTGGCAATGAGCCTTTGCTTCATACACTCCTCGCTCTGGGACAGGTGCAGGAGCCCTTACTTGGCTGGAAGCACTGAGGTCTGTATTTGGGGTGGCAAAGCAGGTGCTGTTGCCAAAGGGTCACCCCTGGAGTACACTGGGTCAGGCTGGCAAAATGTGACGGTACTTGGGACTGAGGAAGAGGGGTGAAGAACATGAGTCTCACTATGCAGTTCAGGCTGGTCTCGAACTTGCAGCCATCCTCTGGCTTCAGCCTCCAGAGTGCTGGCGTTACAGGCATGCAGCACTACACCTGCCTGGGTCAAGGACCAGGTATTGAGATGAGGCACAAACAGGGTTTCTAGAAGGCCTGGGCTATAGGAAGCCGTGGCTAGAGTTAGCTACCAGGCCACTGTGTCCGACCCCAGGGACTCATGATTATTCCCAGATTCCTCTGTTGGCCCCTTCCAAATGCATTATGTTTCTAGTGACTGCTAGGAAACAGTAGATTCACAATTTACCTGCCCACTCCCCAAGAACTACTCATATTCCGGCGACAGTATCTTCACAACAGCAGAAGCACTCAGGTAAAGCATCCAGATCCTAATCCCAGCAGCCACCCAGACACTAGGTTGGGTTGGCCAATCAGGTGGCTTACCAGGCTGTTCCCATGAACCTCAAAACTAAGGAACACCTATTAGAGGATTTAGCGACTTGCAGGCAGAAAAGTGAACTGTCTCATTCTAAACTTGAATTCGGGGCCAGCCAGATAGCTTAGCGGAATAAGGCGCCTGCCTAGGCACAGGCAAGGCCCTGGGGGTTCTGGTTTGATGGGTGACCTGCAGTGCTGGCCCCGCTCCAGGGGTGCGCTGAGACAGTGACTGAGACTGCGCATGGCAGTGCATGCCTGTAATCCCAGCACTTGGAAGACTGAAAAACAGGAGGATCACTAGGAGTCCAATCTGTGTAGTGAGACCCTGTACTAAATATATTTTTAAAAAGTTAATTTAAACTTGAATTCAATAAATAAACTTGAATTCATAGACTGCCATTCACCTAGAGGCTGGATGATTCATACAGTGTTGCCTGATTTGTGGTACCAAAGACAATTAAATGAGAAAGAGGTCAAAACACCAGGATGTAATGGGCATCATAAATTCAGGTCGTCAAAAATTAGTAACACCAGCAGCAACATCATGCAGATGGTGTTTCTTGCTTAACAGAATGTCTCTTGCCAGTCTAGCCGTAACTGGCACACTGTCCCCCTTCCTGTCTTTCTGGCTTCTCAGACTTAAGTTTTCCTGGGGATGCTAAGCATCTGGACCCCACAGCTGGGCCTCTAATCAAGGATTAGAGGGCTGATGTGGGGACTGGAACCCCTAAAGGAACCTCTGACCACCTGTATACTCATTTAATGGAAATGTACCCACCAACCCTGGCCTTCAGAGACATTGTTGAACCAAGCGTCCGATCTTAATTTACATTTACGGAACTGGGGATTGAACTCAGGCCCTGCGCTTGCGTGGCTCAAAACAGGAGGATCACTAAGAGTCTGATCTACGTAGTGAGACCCTGTACTAAATATATTAAAAACAAAACAAAACAAAAACAAAAAACCGGGTTCGATTCCCGCTACCTTGTGCCATGCCGGCCACGGAACCCGAGGCCGGAGGCGCATGCCTGTAATCCCAGCGCTGGGGAGGCTGAGACAGGAGGATCACTACGAGTCTGACTTACGTAGCAAGACCCTGGACCAAATAAATAAATGAATCAAAGATTTTTTTTTTAAATGTTACACCTGAGAAGCCACAGCAGGAATCTGGCAGGAGACGTTGTTAGGCATTTCAGGGAGGATCATCCAGCGGAGATCGCAGGCGAAGTGAGCTCGGGACAGGTGTGGCGGCGAATCAGGATCTGGGTCTTGGCCACTCCACCCATTTCCATTTTCAGAGATCCGGTTCGGAAGACCTGAGGACCGTGCTGAAGACCCGTGCGCCCCTGCAACATTGAGACCACGACCGCTCACGGCCTCTTATTTCTATCTTCTTATGTCTGATCTGTCTTTCTGGGCATCCACGTAAGAAGCCAACAGTTACCCCGCTTGGAGAGATGACGCTAAAATCTCCTTAGGGCGGGAGCTTGCGGGGAGTCCTCCAAGCCTGGGCGACCGGAAGGAGCTGCGGATGAAGCTGCTCTAGGACACCGCCCAACTCGGTGGTCCCGAGGCCGGAAAGTGAAGGCGCCCTCAGAAAATATGGCGGCACTCAGGCTTCTTTTCACGTAAGAAAGAGGTTTTACAGTTCGAATGTGGAGTCTGGTATTAGTGACCTGCTTTGTTCCCCTCAGAAGTGTGGTCTGTTTTTTTATTTTTTTAAACTCATCTTCTGATGCTGTTTCTCGAGGGGCCTCGGCAGCGCTTCTTGCCTGTAGTTAAGATGGCGCCGTCTCTTTGCTGGGTTCCGCTCTGCCAGGTTTCTGCCAGAAGACTCACTTAGTGAGTGTTGTTTAAATTTTTTTTTTTTTTTTTTTTTAGCCAGGCGTAGCACATGCCTGTGATCCCAGCACTGAGAAGGTCGAGGCAGGAGAATAACCGCGAGTTCAAGACCAGCTTGTGAACCAAACAAAGACCAGATTGGGCCATAAAGTAAGCTCAAGGCCAGCCTGAACTCTATAGTGAGACCTTGTCTCAAAAAGACAAAAAACAAACAACAATAACAAAAATAAATAAAGGGCCGGTGAGATAGCACAGCGGACCACAGCCCCGCCAGCCCCGCCCCCAGGCCAGGCAGAGCCCGCCGGCAGGGTGGCACACACCTGTAATCCCAGCCCTGTAATCCCAGCGCTGGGGAGACTGCGAGCAGGACGATCACCAGGAGTCTGAGCTGCGTATTAAGATGCTGTAACAATAAATACGTTAAATAAATAAATGTAGTTTTGCAAAACCGTTTATATTGCGCAAGTGTCTTATAGATGAGGCGCGTTGGAGGCTGGGGTTGCACCGGTGATAAAGAATTTAAAGAATTTATTTATTTTTTGCAGTATCGGAGATTGCACTCAGGACCTTGTGCTTGCGAGGCAGGCACTTAATGCTATTGAGCTATCTCCCAGCCCTTAAAGAATTTAATTTTTAAAAAGATGGGTAACAAGGGGCTGGGGAGATGGCTCAATGGAATAAGCGCTTCCCTGGCAAGTGTAAGGCCTTAAGTTCAATCCCTGGTTCCGG